GATTGCAGCCGAAAGGGTGCGAGTGACATTTTATTAAGTACAGAGTTTCATGCTTACAAGCAATTTAGACTACGAAGTTTCATACAGGCTTACAACATGCGGGAAAATCATTTGAATGCTAACCGGTGATTTAAAGAGGTCTCATTTTGGACCAGTTATTCGTGACTCTTGTTCTCGAGTTCCTTTACGCTGTAATTATGTATCACTGTCCGTAATTGTTTATACGTAACACTTTATGTTAAAGCTTTTGTTGCGAATGCACTGAAATACAAAAGCGAATACCGCGAATCTATGGATAAGCGAATTAATTGAATCTGACGTGTTGTTTCGTGTCGTGATTGTACTCGGATTGATTGTTACGTGTACGTTTCATGCGAGGATTTGAGAAATGGAAAAAATAATGGGTTTACAGTACACGGAGTGATGTACAGCTCGAGTACCATGGTGTGGAGAGTTTACAAAATGCTTGATTGAATTGCTATAGATATTTTTGCCAACTTCGAAATTATTTTTTTATGTTTGCTATATGCGATCGCAAATCGAAAATTTTTTATTGAAATTGAAACGTGTAGGAGTCGATTACAAATAGATTTTTCCATTTCTGTTTCGTCTCATTTTTTTGAATTTATTGTTCACTGATGTGGAGGTAGATAATATGAATTTGAAGATATACAGGTTGTCTCACAACTAGTGTAGGTTTCTAAGATGGGGCTAGATGTGATTCTGAACAAGATTCCCTTTGCAGAAATAAGGTGTGAGCTTCGTTTTGAAATTATTAAGCAATTATTAAGGATGCACTAGTTGTGAGACGCCCTGTATAATGTTAAGTCAATAAAGTAGTTAGAGAAACTTTTCTGTTGTCAAATTTACGTGCTTTCAAATTTCATATTTCTCATATTTTCTAATTCTCAAAATCCTCAATTGCTAAGTACCAAATTTGTTAAGATTGCAAATTCTCAAAACCCCAAATTCTCAAGTAATGAATTTCTCAAATCCCCAAATTCTCAAATCCCCAAACTCTCAAGCACCCGAATTCTCAAACCCCTAAACTCTCAATCACCCAAATTCTCAAATCCCCAAACTCTCAATCACCCAAATTCTCAAATCCCTAAATCCTTAAATTCCTAAATTCCTAAATCCCTAAATCCCTAAATCTCTAAGTCCCTAAATCTTCAAGTCCCTAAATCCCTAAATCCTTGAATCTCTGAATCCCTGAATCCCTAAATCACTGAATCCCTGAATCCCTGAATCCCTAAATCCCTAAATCCTTGAATCCCTGAATCCCTGAATCCCTGAATCCCTGAATCCCTAAATCCCTAAATCCCTGAATCCCTGAATCCCTGAATCCCTGAATCCCTGAATCCCTGAGTCCCTGAATCCTTAAATCCCTAAATCCCCAAATTTCCACCTCCAAATTTCAAATTCTCCTGCAAACAAAAATGGCAGCTAATTTCCATACGAAACCTTCTTTAACCAACCAAAACATTAATAACAATTTTCCCCATTTTACATTACATCAACTTTAAAGATTAAGAACAACATTATTTTTCAATTTCGTTGAAATTGCGTAGCGCAGTGATTGTACAGTCAAAGGGTGTACGTGTTTTTCTTGTTTCGATAAGAGGGTATAATTAAGTTTGTTGAAGCTTGTTTCTCGGCTGAAGAATCGAGTTCATGGAATGGTGTTATTTCTTCGCGGAAATTTAATATCGTCCTTTTAATTCTCGCGCGTAGCTGCACGGAATTGTGTTGTTTCGAAGAATCGCTGTCAGGATGTACGTTTCCTGTCGGAAGTTAGAAAAGTTTTGTCAGAACGCGTTTCCGACGTGATGCATTTTCGCTAACCGCGTTTGCCTTCTAAATTGGATTCGTGGAAATGGATGCGATCAAATTAACCGACAGCAGAATTATCCTCGTAAACGCTCGTCGTAGTCAAATATCTTACGAAAATCAACTGTCGGATTACATGTCAGAGATGTAAAAACCTTTTCGTTTGCATAGCATTTATTTTAATGAAAAATTTAATGTAAGACGCTTCACTCTTTGCTCTTGAAAGTTGAATGTGTGTACTCGTGCATGTTTTATTACGTCTCTGACAAAATGGCGGACCACTGCGCGATATTCACTGAAGAATAAATTGTAATTCACTGAAATTAAAACACACTGGTTAGAGATAAAATAATTAGAATTATTGTTAAATACAATATAATAATATAATAATACAATAATACAACAATACAATAATACAATTACAGTTAATAAATTACATTTCACTGGAAGAATAACAATTCACTGGTTAAAAATAATTGCTAAAATTAATTAAAATTAATATTTACTAAAATTCGTGTAAATATGATATTGAACAAGAAACAAAAATCGATGTTATTGAAAATATGAATAAACATATTTCGGTCGTTGTAAAATCGACATGCTACGTTAGCACAACCAGGAAGCAAAAGTTTGAACAGTGCTGTTATTTTAATAATTTAAAATGTTTGCCCAATATTCCAGTAAAAAGTTATAAAATAAAATAATAAAAATAAAGGAAATAAAATAATTTCAATTTAAATTGTGATCGCTGTTATGTTCGTACTCGTGAGAGATTTTCATTTATTTCTTCATAATTATAAAATTTTATTACTTTGAATTAACTGTTAGAGTTAAGTATTTTATCATATAAATTAATGATCAAGTTTTATGGTATCAATTAATTTTAAGATAATCTCGAAGAATTTTACAATAGTCAAAAAATAATTTTAATTTAAGACAAAGCTAAATGACAAAGCATTTTCAGATATCGAGAAATGTCCTCTTAAAATACGATGAGTAACAAATTCTGCGAAGCGTACGAGAAGCAAAAGGAATCTTAAATTATGCATCATAGCTCATTCACTGTATACATCATTTAATTTCCGTGGTGAAAGATTATTGCAAAAAAGAGATATCTGTTTCTAGTGGATCGCTCGGTAACACCGGGTCCAATAAAAACCCGAAGAACCTTCCGCGAAACGTAATTTCCGGCCGAGGAAGCGAACCGTTTCGCGCGAAGGAATTAACTAATTTACCTCTCGCGCTACCGTGTTCGCCTTTTATTTGTCCACAGTGACGCGTGTACGTTGGTAATCCTTAAATCCTCGTCCACGAAGTTGCGTCGAAACCACGAGCTCGCCACTACACTTTGTCACTGTCGCGAGATTCATGCCGCGTTGCTGTTCGTCAGTTTTCCTCCTCTTCTCTCCTCTTTTTTTTTTTTGTTCAAACTGGAAACTGGGACAATTTTCAGAGCAACTGGGAACCACACGACGCATAGCACGGCAGAGAGCTGTACCTGTTATTGACCCTTGCTACTTCACGATAATATTAAAGCCATTGGGACTCGTTAGATTTTTCAGAGGAAGTTAGAGTGCACTACAACTGCGTATCAGCAGGATAATAATTCTGTAGGTTCAAATTTTTTACGACGTTTTTAACCTGAAAAACTGAGAGACACTTTCACGGTAATATATCGTTTACTGATGCTTCGATGTTGGCGGTTTCGCTTGGATGGACAAGTGTGAACATTTTTATATTCGAGATGGGGCAATTTTGGGATTTATAAATTGGGCACTTTTTGAAGTGCTTGGAAGTTGTAATATAATCTCTCATGTTCAAAATGTTTACATTCTCATCAATTTCTAAATTCCTTTCACAAATTTCAAATTCTAAAATTTTTGAATTCTTAGGTCCCCAAATTTCCAAATTTTCAAAATTCAAAATCCCCAAATTTTGGATTTGCAATTCTACAAAAGATCAAATTATCAAATTTCCGAATCCCTTGTTACTGCGTAACAAATATTATACAAATTTGTAAGTCGTTAAAGTGACCTGTGACCTCTCAAGGTAACAAAAATTAACCAGCCAGGTAGGGCAATTGAAAAACATATTTCGAGGAAACCCTCTAAAATCATAAAGTCAAAAAGTTCAATAATATACCTGATTACCCTTACAGATATCATAAAAAAGGTCACCGGTTTACACACCCAGGAAAGTTAAAAAATTTACAATCTCAACCGCCCTAAACATAGAAGCTCCAGAGAACTTACCTGAGGCTAACGGTAGTCCCCGCCAAATGTATGTCATTTCCCCAAACTCAAGAAAATTTCGAATCACCAATCAGAACCGTTGTTAGAAAAAGCCCCCACTATAAGAACAAGTTAATGTCGACAGAAAATTTTGCGAGAAAGAACAGATACAAACATATCAGCATACGAACAACATTAAAATAATCTTCTACGTGCCGTCCGATAAAATTCACAAACTTATACTTTAAAATATTCATAGTTGTATTAGTAAATATAATAAGTGTTACATGGAACTTTATCATAGTATTCATTATCCAACATTTTCAAATATTCACTCGCCGTGAAGTCTGCGTGTGAAGTGAGCATTTTCGAAAGTAGCTTTCAATATAAAAATTAATTATTTTGCTCACGAGTCAACATCCCTAAATCACCAAATTCTCAAATTTTCAAATCCCTAAATCACCAAATTCCTAAATTTTCAAATCTTTACATTACAAATTTCTAAGTACTTAAATTTCCAAATCTCCAAATCCCTATATTCCCGAATTCTCACATTTCCAAATTTCCCAAATTCCCAAAATTTCCAAATCCCCAAATTCCCAAATTCCCAAATTCCCAAATTTCCAAATTCCCAAATTCCCTAAATACCCCAAACTCCCAAATTCCCTAAATACCCTAAATTCCCAAATTCCCTAAATACCCCAAATCCCCAAATTCCCCAAATTTCCTTGCTTTCGTATTTTCATTACACGACAAACACTTGCAATTTAAAAAGACATTCGAGAAACGATATAAATTATTCCGGCGATCGACTCGATTACCAATTATTACTCGTGCACGTACGCCACACGTGAAATGGAATTACCTTCGCGATTAAATGCACCGTGTTCCTCGGATCATTAATCACATTGTAAATAAGCGGCGTTTATTTGATTACAGGCTGTGGCCGACGTACGCCAGCGCGCATAACAACCTCGGAACACTCACCGTGGGCGATCAAGCGGAGCAACACTTTTTGGCGGCGATACACGCTCAACCAGGACACGTGAACGCTCATTACAATCTTGGTCAGTTGTACAGGTTAGTGATAACTGCGCATTCAAGAATTAACCATTTTGCTAAACGACCCATTTTGAAACGTCGAATGACTCACTTCGGAATGAGTCATTGACCCTTTTCGAATGTCCCATTTCAAAGCATCAAATATCCCATTTCACTGCGTCAAATTATCTCTTTGAAAGCATAAAATACATCTCGAGCAGGAAATGTCATTTCGAGGATCAAATGTTCGAAGATTAATGTTGCAATTCGCTGGCATAGTACTGCAAAATGGTACTTATGATTTGGAGATCAGTTTGATAATGACTGGGAAGGCCCATTAATATCTGTAGTATGATCTAAATGGTTTTCAAAAATTATTTCATTGGTACAATGCGTAGCAATTTGATTCAACAATGTATTTCATGTCAAGGACAGTAATGATAGGTTTGCTATTTTCATTAAACATTGTGCTTTACATTGGTGTAATATAAGTGCTACTTTGAAATAGTTTTATGTCATGAAATTGTGTCAGATTGTAGAGGTACTGATCTAAAATAAAAATAGTCTGTTGTGATTGGTAAACAGCACTTTCATATTTGGAATATCAGTGCAATGTTTGATCTTCAAACAGATATGACAAAGTGTCAGTTTATAAAACTTTTGTCATGATATCTTGTCAAACTTGTCATTTAATATCACACAGAGGATGAACTAATTTCGAACCTAAATATTAACAAAGTATTTCCAAATACGTATTAATTGGAGTAATTCATCCGTGCACGTAAAAGGGTGAAAAATGTAATGGTACACAAGCGAAACGGAAGCGGAATAAAGGATAAATATCGTTGCAGCAGCACTGAATGCACCGGGTCTAATGGACTCTTCCATCAAACAAAGTAAACAAAGCCGTACAAAGAATCTGAAATTCAGCGCACCCTATTTTATTAATGGTGCATCGCGGTAGACCGAAGTACATATTATGCGATAAATTTGCCGTAGCGAGGTAATTCTGGCGGTGAGGTCAGAATTAAAGTTTAATTAACGTCTCCAGCTTGATGAATTAAAGTTTAATTGACGGTAGGGGGTGAGACGCGCGCGCGACCAACACAACACCCTTCGTCCACCCACGCGTTACTTTATAAAACGGTGTTGGTCCGCTAAAAAATTTTTTGATCTCCCTTTTTTCAGTACGAGAGAGCGAAATTTTCAGAATAAACGTTCCTGGAAATGAAATCCTTATTTCCATCCATTGAATTCTCTTATTGTTTTCTATCAAAATGCTTACTTTACCCTGGAGTCTTCGAAAAAATGCCCGGTGGAAATTTCCTGCGGAGGCTTCGATATTCTGGGCTGTGTTTGAATAACTATACATCGCTCGAAAAATTTCGATCGGGATGGGATGGCTGGCGTGTACGAGATAGCTGCGAAAATATTCGATGATTCGCTGAAGGTGGACATTAAGACTTTGAGGGCATAAATTGACACACTTCTAACCTAGTTTTTAAGTTTCCAAGCTTGTAGATTTGGAGATTGTCGAATTTCGAAGTGTGGTTTTTAAAATTTAGAAGGTAGATTTGTATATGTAAGATATGAAATATTGACACTTGTAAGTCAAGCAGGGGCAGCGTCCTCATCATACCTACATTATGTCTTTATCGCATGTGAATGGAAAAAATGTACACTCTAGAATAAACTTGCTTTCCGTAGGGAAAATGTGGCAAACAAGGGGAGACATCTCCTGCTCGTTGATTTAGAATTTCAAGTTGAGAGGTTAGAGACCTTAATGTTTGAAGAACTTAAGAATATTGGGACCTTGACTCGTGGAGGACAATAGAATATACCTTCAGATTTGAGGATTTAAAAATTCATAAACTTCATGATTTGAATCTGGAGATAAATCCAGATATATGAGAATCTAAGAATTAAGTTAATCTAAAAGTTTGATGATGTAAAAATAGTGGACCCATGAATTTGAGAGTATGGGAGAGTTTGGAAGTAAAAAGAATGATCAAGCTTACATACGTCTTACCTTAGTAACATAATTAATTACTGTGTTAATCAGGAAAACGAATAGAACAGAGGAGTGCATACGAATGCTTCAGAAGTGTGTATCTCTGGACCCAGCCTACACACCGGCGTATCTGGTTTTGGCGAGACTGGCAACGGGGCCAGCGGCCGGGGTGCTTTTGAGACACGTGGTTCGATTGCAACCACGAAGTCCCGACCACCTTGCGGAATATGCATCGTGGTTGTTCCAAAATGGTAAGTGAGAACAGTTAACCAGTTTTAAGAAGGATAAAGGCCGGTGTCCCCGTAGCGACGACCGAAAGTACGGGTTAAAGTAGTTTAGAGGTAACGAAACAACATCGAAACTCTGGTCTGTAATGGCGTCGCGGCTACGCTTTATACTCACGCCAAATTGTCCTCCGTCTCTTCAGGTAAATGGCTACCCTCCCTGAAGTACTATCTCAAAGCCATGGAGGTCTCGCCGTCGCATAGATCGTCGCTCCTGGGAACGGTCAGGATCCTGAGGTCGCGAGGTCAGTGGCCGAGGGTGCATCAACTTATCACCAGGTGAGCAAACCCCTCGTGTTTGCGGAACAATTAAACGAATCCGAGCATGGAACTTTGATTATTCTCGTATAAATTTCGCTGTAGTAAAAGTGAAAATTACGACCATTTTCTGCGAGGATCATCAAATTTTAATGCTCGCGCGATCAGCGCGGCTGAAACTACCACTCGGAAATTCTGTCATAGATTTCTTTGTTTTTTTTATGAAATAATATGTACTATTATTATACTATCTGCAACCATGGCTACACTGTTATTGTTAAGTCAATGTACCGTGACCACTGTCTCACTTCCGATATATTGATCTTTTCAAATAAGTTGGCAGTAATACTTGTGGTTCGAGTGGACTAATTGTTAGTTAAATAATATACAAGTCTTCTATTATAAAATACTGCATATTTTCTTCTGTACAGACTTTATATCATAAAGAATTCATTTATCCGTAAAAAAAAATCTTCTACCATATTCTAATTTAACAATCCATATATTTTTTATTCCTTTAATTAAAATCTGTTTAAATATTTCAATATTATAATCCCCTGATTTATTGGACTTTTAAATCTAAATACTAGAGTCTCTTTACTTATCATATATTATTTTTGCAAACACTAAATGACCGTTTATTTCGAGTTAAAGCGAGGGATTATTAAATTAAATTTTTATACGTACATATGAATGATTAAACTACTCCGCGAGTTGTTTATTTAAAATTATATAAGATTGAAATCAAAATAAGAGGATCGCTTAAAGTTTCATTAGTAAAAGTCGCTTGCAAAGAAGCACTGAGCAAAATGCTTTTCAAGTTGAAAGAAATATTAAACATAAATTTTTCCTGGCTAGCAATCACGTCATGGTTCCACTCAGAGGTAAATTAGCAGAAGTAAACGAAAGTCCCTGGGAACTCCTTGGTTTCAGGGAGTTCTGGGAAAAAGAACAACCGTGTCCACTTGGCTACGAATCGTCGAAACAGCTTAGCAAGTTCGGTTCGGGAGTTGACAAAACTTTCATATCTGGGTGCCAACTGCTTTTTGTATACTTGCATATGAGCTTCCAAATTTCCGACTTTCGTGGTCCTACATTTCCAAATCTTCAAATTCAAAAATTTCCAGATTTTTGCCTTACCAAATTCCTAAAGCCCCAAATTCTGAAATTTCCAAATTTCCACCTTAGCAAATCCATAAGCCACCAAATTCTCAATTTTCCCAATTTCCATGCGCTCCAATTTACAAAACCCCGAGTTGCCATGTTCAGAAATTTTGAAATTTCCAAATTTCCACGCCTCCAAATTCCAAGGTTCCAAATTCCCATATTTTCCAAATTTCTAAGTTCCCAAATTCTCAGTGTTCGAAATTCCAAAAATTCCAAATTCTCATCTTTTGAAATTCTAAAGCTCCCAAATTTCCACGCCCCCAAAATCTGAAAATCCCAAGTTCCATATTTCCCAAATTTCTAAGTTCCCAAATTCTCAGCGTTCGAAATTCCAAAAATTCCAAATTCTCATCTTTTGAAATTCTAAAATTCCCAAATTTCCACGCCCCCAAAATCTGAAAATCTCAAGTTCCATATTTTCCAAATTTCTACATTCCCAAATTCTCAGCGTTCGAAATTCCCAAAATCCCAAATTCTCATCTCCTGAAATTCTAAAATTCCCAAACTTCCATACCTCTAAATTCCCATATTTTCCAAATTTCTACATCCCCAAATTCGAAATTCCCAAAATCCCAAATTCTCATCTCTTAAAATTCTAAAACTCCCAAATTTCCACGCTCCCAAATTCCCATATTTTCCAAATTTCTAAATCCCCAAATTCCCACACCCGAACTTCCCACATTCCCAAATATCCAAATTCCCAACTTCCACCTCTTATAATTCACAAAAACTCATAAACCACTGCAACGTAAATACCCCAAATAAAAACAGCGAATGATAATTTAATAGAAAGGAGTATTTATTCAATTCGACGTATGATAAAATATGTTTGAAGTATAGGGTCGGTATGCAACGGGATTACGGTTTGAACGGGGTGCAAGGCTTTGCGTCCTTGTCTGCTCGTTCTTTCTCTCCATTCTCTTTTCCCTTTTTTCTCGAACCTCGCGTACTGTAATCCTCTGGTGCCCCCGCAGTGCAAATAGCGTCTATAAAACAGCCACGGTAAATTTGCCAGCGACGATTCGCGCTGTTTTTGCAGCTCTCGCTTCGGGGGTTGCACGAGCGAATGCACACGGTTGGGGGGAATCAATTCTTTCTTGCTGGCCGAAATTATGGTCCCGTATCTCGTGATCGATAAAAGCCTCGTGCGAATCCGGAGAATCGCAAAAGTTGAACGTTTCTCTTTCTCGTTTCGAAAACGCACAAAGAAACGTGCATTGTTCAATTAGCGAACTTTTACGGATCGTTAAGTGACTTTCTGGACCGTCTGTATTGATTTCCACAGCTGACTACAATTTTTATACATTATTCTGCAAGAATGATGTTTTTACTGATAATTTATATACAAAGAATATTAATTTTTAAGTTAATTCGCTTTTACGTTAATTTGCCAAAATTTTACGTTAAGCTGTCTTTAATTTTTCTCGTTTATGAATTTATAATTTACTCTGTGATTATTATAGAGTGAAATATGCTGAGAATATTTAGACAAGTATAAAATTGTATAAACTGCAATATTTAATTGTTCAATTTTTAAGCGTAAACAAGCAACTCTGAAACTATTTTTATTTCCAGAAACATTAATCTTTGTATGAAACTTGTTTCACTTTAATTTTTGGCTTGATTGTTCAAAGCACTGTTTTTGGTTAAAATGTTGTTAGCGATTTCCCGCGTAAAATATTGGTAATAAAAATTGTGTTTCAATGAAATATTGATGTCGCAGGTTCAAGTTAACGTTCTTTTACGACCACACTAAAAGAGTGCACATAAAAGTTTTTTATTAGCAAGCCTTATTTTTGTACCGAATGCACCGTGAAAATGAATGGCTCCCCTACTGCGAGTCTCCGCGGGTGATTTTTCGTGCAGGATAAAGCGAGAAAATTCCATTATGCGTTGCTTTCGATTTGCGCGGGAAATTTAAAATCATAACAGTAGTTGTTAAGCTGTAACTATTTTTTTAATAATATTTTTCATTTTTCTTCACATTTTGTTTCTGTGGTTTTGTCTGTCAGAGCTTTTCGTGATTTCGTGTTTTTGGGGTCAACGTTACTTCGCACATTCGGTGACTAAATCTACACGAACCAATGAACTTTTGGCCGCTTTCATTTCTATCTTCCCGACATCTGACTGTCCTTATTTTCACCTAACCCAGATCTCTTTTAAAAGTAAGACGAAAACGGCGCACCTTCAATCTTCAAGAGAGTGCTATTTTATGATCCGAGGTGATTGTGGAACAAGATATTGTAGTTAGAATCTAAAAACACCTTTTGTAATTATCATAAGAATTAAATATGCAATTTATCTAGGTTTCTGAAAATACTGTCATATATTTTAGAAAATTTGCAATGGAAGATTTATTCCCTTTTCACTCTACTGTATTCAAACTTCCTTTGTTTCCTACATAAAAGTGAACTTTGAATTTTTTCATAAATGAACCATGTATTTTTACTAAAACTTACTAAAGTTACTTTTACCAAAATTATCAAAAATACCTCCTGCCTTTAGCAATTTTTATTTTAGATTAACTTACAATTAGTGACCTACGAATATTTTTTTACTGAATTTATAATACAATAAAGATTTCACCATTGTTATTTTTTCGGTTATAACCACTTTTGAGTATTAAAACCCGTATTTCCCAACGGAAATAAAAAGGTCCTGCAACAAAAGGTTAACCTCCTACCGCAGAAAAATTGGTGCGACAACAGTGCACCCTCGACGGTGGTTTTTCGCTAAAAATCGGTCAAGCGAGACACAGTTTCGCAACCGAAGCAACGGGAGGTGCCGTAGGCGTGGTGAATGGGGTCGTTCGAAGGGTTAAATTTCGAAGAAACAACGTGGAAAGTGATGGCAGCAGGACGCACAGGGTGTCGGTCTGTAACCATAGCGCGCAAGATTTCAATATGCACCGTTTGACAGATGTGCCAGGCCGTGTAGATTTTAAATGCAAATATAAATCCCCCGTGCAGACCGCAAACGTGTGAGGAGAGCAGAAATTGCAGAGGATTTCGAGCGGGTGCGAACGGCTAGCTGCGGTCGGATAAAAGTACAAGAATAAAAAAACAATTTCAGACGTTATATGTTAGCATACGTTTTCGTAGATAGGCAACAATACTCTTTCTTCCTTCTCGCGTAGAAAACAGAATAATTACGATTGTCTGTTTCTCCAGTTTTTATTAAAGGTTGCACATTTATTATTTTCGATTAATATTACAATTATTATTACACTTTATTTTTCCTTTTTTTTAGTCATTAGAGTTGTGTATTTTATAAATAATAGTATTGCTACTTAAATTCGTTCAAAATATTGTCCTGAAGTAGATTTCACTGCTACAATGATGAGCGTAGAAATTTACACGTAGGGATTTAACACGTGGAGAACTAACGCATAGGGATGTAACGCTTACAAATTTAACGCGTGGAGATACAATAACGCTTGAGGTACCAGAGCGTAGAAATCGAACACGTAGATATTCTAACGTGTAGGGATTTCACGCGTCGTTATTCAACGTGTCGAAATCTAGCACGTGGGAATGTAATGTATAGAGGTTTAACGCGCAGGAATTCAACGCGTAGGAAATCAATGCGTCGAAAATCAACATATGGAAATTCCATCATATGAGGGTCTATATGGGGTCATATCAGGGCCATCAGAAATCCAGCGCGTAGGGATTTAACGCGTAGGAATTTAACGCGTGAGAATTCATCGCGCAGGAATTCAACGCGCAGAAAATCAATGCGTGGAAAATTAACACATGGAAATCCCATATGTGAAAATTCCATCATATGAGAGTCCATATAGGGGTCACACAAAGGTCATCAGAAATCCAACACGTAGGTATTTAACACATAGC